AGCAACCAGGCCTTTGCCCCAGACGCATGCAGGCTCGAACAGAAGGTACTGCTGTCGCTCATCCAGCAAATCTCCGCTGACATGACCAATCACAATGAGCTTAAACAGAGGTAGGGAATGGCAGTCCTTATTGATTCAAAGGTGTACTTTAACGCCTTCGTTTCCATTTATAGATACCTCAATGAGGCGCTGCTGGCCATCAATATGGCGGATCCCATTACCCGCGAGCATGCTCCAAAGGTGCTCGCCGAGCTGTTTCGCAATTGTCAGCTGTTCATCAAGAATTGTCCCAAGAGTACGCAGTGTAGCAATGTGCGACTGCTCATGAAGGCCATCATGACGTATCGGGATCAGCTGAAATGATATCGCGAGAATTACAACATGGCCAGTAACTGGTATTGATAGTGTGTCCATCCCCCGATTCCCCTTTTACCTCCCAACTACTGCAGCTAAAAATGTTGAAATTTCCATCGGGATTTAAATTTAATTTTGTTTTTTTTTTTCTTTCGTCTCTGTGCGCGTGTGCTTTTCGTTTTAGTTTTAGGGGATTTATATAAGTTTTTGTTCTCTCGTTTAGGATCCCTGCAATACACTTTTGCTTTAGAATTTATTTTTCCTTTGTGCACGCGAGCTGCGAGCAGTTCCCGATGCGTGTTTTAATTTTTAACTTTTCGTTCCTTGAGGTTTTTTTTCTTTTTAATTTTTATGACGCTTATGAAAGAAGAGAGAACAAACAAAAAACAGAGCTGTAGAAATTAATTTTAAAAATTATTTCCAACACAAAAAACAATAAATATACTTTCAACACACACACACACACATAATGATTGCAAATGCAAAAAAACTACAAGTAAAATCGTAAATGATAAGCTAAAAGTAAACAACAAGAAAAGTTAAACTAAAAAATAATAATTATAAAAGTAAAGAATAAATGTATGAATGTATGCACTTGAAAGTAGCGACAAATATTTCATTTAATTATAATTGTTTGTCTAACTTAAAGCCAAATTATTTTTGGGTCTTCTTTAACCACTTGTTTTAGGATCTATAATCATCCTGGTAATATGGGTATATATATTTCTCAAATAGTACAAAAAACATCTTTTCGCTTAGAGCCTACAAAAAACACCAATCAATGGGGCTAGGAATTTTAAAGCTTTGTCAGATTCACGATCAGCTGAGCAGTGCCAGCAGCTCCGAGGTGCGCTCCAGGCAGCTGCAGCCACAAGTGGCACAAACAGTGTGTTTCTGAGGAATAAATAAAGATGAAGATTCATGAAGTAAAGTAAAGAGAAGAGAACTCACCTCAAACCACTGCATCATGTGATCCATGTGTCCGCCATGGCCACAGGCCAGACACGCATTTGCCGCACCCCGGACAGGCAGACGACAGAGTACGCAGTAGAGCGCCGGCCGCTTACAGAATTCACATTTTGGAGTGCGCTTCGGCTTGTTGCACGTGCCACACTCGGTGACAAACTCCACGCCCTGAATGGGCGGCGGTGTGTTCTGTGTGTGCTTGAGGATCAGCGCGCGCTTGGAGAGTAGCTGCCAGCCAAAGAGAATCTCGGCATAGGCACGCTTGAACTGATCGAACAGAGGCATTTTGATGCGTCTGATCAGGGAACAGGAATAGGCATCGGCCTGGAGTTGCTTGACGTCCAGCCAGTCCAGGGAATCCGACCAGGAATTGCTGCGCAGCTGCTTCATCTGCTGCCAATGGTTGGAAGAGCTGGACTTCACGTCCAATGGGAGCACCGTGTGGTAGGGCGACAGCTGAGAGTTCAGTTGCGGTGGCAAGTGAAAGGCCACCGCCACATCCATTATGCCACCCGTGGGACACTTGTCGAACAGGCAGGCCAACAGCACGGCCGTCTGTATATCGCCCGAGCTGGCATAGTGCATGATCAGCGACTCCAGCAGGGATTTCTTGAACGGATCCTTGTAGAACAGTAGCTCGTTCATTGTCTCGTGCGGCACATGCGGAGTGGCTATCAATTCGGCCAGCAGCCAAACAGGCAACAGGTCCATGCGTCCATGCTTGCGACAGATCTCGCCATTGCGTCGGCACGTCTCCGCTATGTCGTGCTTGTCCAGCGAGAATTCCCTGGCCATGTTGCGGCTGACATGGAGCAGACTGCTGGCATCGTAGACGTGCACCACGGGACTGCCATTCATCTGCCGAATGGCTCGCTGTTTGCCCGGTTTGCCTGCAATCATTCGCTCCTGCAGGTAAAACGAAGCATTTGCATCCCTTTGGGTGGTGCCCATTACATTGCCCAGCAGCCCGCTGCCATTGATGGCCGACAGAGTCCGTGGAGTCATCGACTGATGCTGCCGCAGGGTCAACCGCTTGTTGTTCACAGGCTGTGCAAATGTGGTTAGCATGCCGATAGCATTGAAGTGCACGCCCGAAGTGCGTGGAAAGGGAATGCAAGCATCGTGCAGGGCACTGGACAGAGCACCCTCCAGTCTGGGACTCTGCAATAGTAGTTGACTTCGATCCTCGCCCACTCCGCCGACAGCCGCCACCTTCTTTTTCATGGCCGCCACCAGAGCACGCAGACATTGCTCCAGGCAAGTGCGAGATTTCTTTACTCTCTGCAGGGCATTGCAGCGCAGAATTTTGAGGAGAATGGCACTAACCTCGGTGGACAGCGTGGTGCCCTGGCACAGCTGAAACACTGGCGGCACACTGGGACTGGGATAGGATGTGGCGAAGGTGACCTGCAGTATGACCGTGTGTCCACCAGCACAGATCTTGAAGCAAGCGTACCGCTTGATGGCATCCAACATGTCCACCTCCACATGCGGCATGTTCGTATTCAGCAGCGAGAACTCATGATGCAGCGAGCAAGTGGGTTGATCTGTCAGCGAACGGGCTATATGCGGCTCCTCCCGGCGACAGTAGCCACCACCGAAGCTGGGCGAGCGTGCCATGGGCAGCGTATTGCATGCCCCATCGCCCGTTGAAATGGGCAGCGAGCCAGCGGCCATCCCCGAGCGTGGATGCAGGAACTCCGGCGGTGTGGGCACTCTCAATTCACTCATTTCGGGCTCATAGCGTGGCTCCTCCTCCTCGGCGGATGGCTCGCAGAGCTTCAGCATATTGTCATCGATTTTCCATACCCTCAGAGTGCGATCTCTGGACCAGGTGACCAGCTCCTAAAAGGGAATGTCAGTGATAAACTACAGAAATCATCGACAGAAGTGTAGTCTTACAATTTCTGTGAAATTTTCACGATTGGGCCGCCAGGCAAAGTCCAGAATGACATCCGTGTGACCCACAAACGAGCAAATGGGATCCGTCTGTTTGCTGTTGCTCCACAGCAAGAGGCTATTCTCACCGCGGCCCAAATGTGGCACCACAATGCTAACCAAACCATTGCCAATGGGCTGCAAAAAGAGGGATTTTGATAAGGAATTTTACAACCATAAAGCAGGGTGTTGGCTCCACCGTATAGCGTGCTCTCCACACGGGCGACATGGTAGTAATGATTTTCTCTGCTCTGCGTGGATTGCAGACATCAAAGTACTTGACTGTGCCATCCTGGCTGGCAGTGGCCAGGCACGTCTCTCGGCGGTGACTCCAGTTGATGCCGTGCACACGATTCAAATGCGCTGTAATGTAATGCGTGGGGCAGCTACCCTTGCGTATGTCCCAAATCCTCAGATCTCCATCGTGTGCAGCAGCCAGCAGATTACCCGACACACGATTAAAGCCCACTTGAGTAGCACCAGCTGGGAAAGAGGGGAAACACAAATGAGTGGGCAAGCCATGTGGATAAGGAGAACATTTAGTTACACATGCAGACGGCATTCAGGGATAGCGCGGGCTTGCGATGTTCACGCAGATCCCAAATGTGTGAGAAGGTGTCAATGGAGCAGCTGACGAGCAAATTGGGATCCTTGCCATGCCAATCAATGTCGGTCACCGTACGCGTGTGTCCACGCAGCGAACTCTCGTAGCACGGCTCCGCTGGACCCCAGCGCACAATGTCAATATGTTGACTAGTCTGCAAAACACAAGGAAAACTCGTTGAAAATCGGCGGCTGCTGAAGGAGAGGTTAAACAATATCTTACGGCTATTGCGCAGTACTCTTTGCGGCTGGGGCATATGGCAAATTCCGCTACAGACACCTCGTACTTGGACTGTCGCTCGTGACGTCGCAGGGTGCCGTCGTCTTGGCCCAGGCGCTGCAGGGCCAGATGGCCACGCCCCGCCAGCAACACCCACTGGCCGGAATAGTCCACGGACATGGCCGTGGCCTGGGAATCGCGATGCTCATAGTATTTGTTGCTCTGCCTTATGATGTATGTCTGTTCAGAGGCGGCGCTAGCAGCGCCACCCATTCCTGTGCCTCCGGCACCAGCACCACCGCCTGAACGCTCGCCCGAGCGCAGAGTCTCCGTTGGTGGCATCTCTTCCGTTGAATGTATGTGGTGATGTGTAACCGAGAACAGGTTAATCAAGTGAACAAAAATTAGTCCATTTCTGCAACAAACAAATAAAAATAAAACGAAACGAAACTGATAAGAGGGAACGATTAACAATAACAAACCTATCGTGTGACCCTTTGGTCACACTAGAACGTTGAGTTTCACGGGAAGTGCACATTAATCGATGGCATATCGAAATTTAAATTCAAATTGCTGCAAGTCTAATTTTATTTTATTCATGTATATTTCACAATATCTTCTTACACAAAACGTTTCACATACACACCACACACACATTAAAGGGGAGCTGCTTAGTCCAGCTATAAGTTCGCTATCAATTCTGCTACATATCTCAGTGATTATTATACAAAAATAAATTGGGGGTGGAACAAATGTTCAATATTACGATTAAATTGTTATTGTATTGTATTGTCAGCTAGATTAACGAAAACTAAACCATTTCTAGTACACCTACCATAAACTACAAATGCATATTACATGCACGAGATAATGGAAACTCTTTACAGTCAAAAGAGCCTAAAAATTTGATTATTCTTTATACAAAGTGTAGGGCAATATCTATTTCATAGAAATAAACTTAGTTATGGTATGGCTAAGGCTACGTATTGGGTACTCAAGTCTTTGACAAATTGCCCCTCCCCAAACCCCAATCTCCTCCGCCACCTTATCTATGGCAATAACAAAACATTTTGAGTGCCGGATCATTCATGCAGTAGCTCTGACTGCCATACAGATTGATGCGACTTATGGTGCCGGTGAGGACACTCGTATAGCCCGACATTCTCACCGTCGACTCGAAGACGGCCAGGCCGGGCTTTGTCTGCATTCGCAGCGTAATATCCACGGCATAGTCCGTGGATATATTCTTCACGATCTTGTGATGCGGCGCCGCAATGAACGCCTGCAGTATGGAGTTCAGATAGAGGGTGCGGCACTGCGAGTTGTCCTTCAGTCGATTGTTGATGAGACGCACCACATAGCGAGCGGCACGCTGCACCCGGCCATCGTTCGTCTGAATTTCCTGGCGCTGGTGGCACGTGCACCAATGGGAGGCGATGCCAGCCTGCTCGCAGGTCCTCACCTCCGGTATGGGCAGAAACAGGCTGATGCCACGCGGCAGGACGCTGTCGGCATCTTCGAACTCTTCCGCCTTCTTCTGCACCTGTTCCGCCTCCAGGTTGCCCATGTCCAGCAGATGCAGCATCGTGGCATGCACATCGAAGGGCGTGGCCAAGCGTCGCGAATTCGTGCGCAAATTGGCAATGGCCTCGGGGTATCGTTCGTTCATCCAGGGCGGATAGAGCATGGTCATCAGTGGCTGTCGTTCCTCCATCATGCCCTGGTAGGTGCGTCGAAAGGAGCCCCAGCGCAGGCCATGATCCGACAACAGCATCACCACAGTGCGATTGAGCACCCCGGAGTCCTGCAGCTGCCGGAGCTGCGTCACCATGGCCTCATCCAGGAGTGCCGGAAAGTTGAAGTAATCGTGCGTTAGGGTCACAGTCCACAGGAACGAGAAGAACAGATCCTTGCCCATTTTTGGCACCATTTTCGTTAGATACTCCAGGAGAACATCCGGCGTACGTCTGCCGCCCATGCAGAGCTTCACATTGACATCCTTCTTGTAGGACAGGGTACGCTCCATTTCCAATATGATGGGCCGCAAATAGTAGTCAGTGGGTTGCTTGTGGAAGCCGTTCTGATTGAAGTTGAATGCCGATATGCGTCCCACATCCTCGGCGAATAAAGTCTTGTAGCCAGCCTGCTGGTAACGCTTCCAAATGAAGGAGCAACCGTCGTATGTCTGCTTGGATTTGGGTGCACAGGCAATGTTCAGTTCCTGATCGTCCAGACCACTCAGCATGGGCACTATGTTGGGGAAGGTGTTGTCCCCCACCTTGTTGTAGCCCCACAGTTCGACGTGGGAGAGATTCTTCTTGATGTAAGCGGCCGTCTTGCGCATTTGCCGCAGGAAGTTCAAGTGCGAGAGACTGTCAATGCCCAGGATCATCACAGACAAACGCTCCTGGGCGGACTCCTTGCTCTGATTGAAGCTAACCCTCTCCACACCCAGTCTGGATGTGATCTTCTGTGGTGGCTTGTCCACCGCAAAGAAGTGGCAGTCCTTGTAGATGCAACGGTCGGACGAGTCATAGCACCAGAGACAAACAAATTCCATTTCCGGCGGCAGATGCATCACCTGCTCTAGCTTGAAGCTGACACCCGGCGAATAGGTGTTGTTCCAGTCATTCTTGCGCTTCACTTCCGTATAGTTGCAGCTTATGGCAGACAGATCGCTGATGTTGTAGCGAAACAGCAGCTCGCTGGGGCTCAAATTCAGATGCAGCTCCCCCGGCACACTGTCACTCGTACGCGTCAGCGGTTTGTTGCACTTGTAGGCACTCGGCTTGAAAATAAACTGCGCTATATTGTCATCAACAACCTCGAAGTGTGGCATGCGGCAGCCCGTGGTCTCCACAAAGTACGCACGACTCAGCTTGCCACCATACGAGTCCTCAATCCGGGCCACAAAGTCAAAGCCATCGCGAAAGCGCAGCAACTTTGTCCTCAGATTGTAGTCGACGCACAGATACGAGAAGACGCACAGACAGAAGATGACAATCACAATCTTCTTGAATTGTCCGCGATTCTTGTTCATGTTGTAGTAGCGATAGTAATGCTGCAGATCCCTCTTTGTCATAAATTTTGGATCCAGCAGGTATTTGCTTCTGCAAGAGAGCGATTGAAATTGATAGAAAGAGATTCAATTAGTTGATATATTGATATATATATTGATATATATTTTTGTATTTATTTTTTTTGTGTGCGTTTTATGCTACCTTGCGCTGCCCTTAAATAAAATACGACACTACTTGTAAGCAATATTTGAATTATTTGATTTAAGTATAAAAGGTACTACGAAGCGTTTCAAATTCAGAAACTATTTCTAGCTGTTAATCTGCACATTTGGAACGGTGGTTCTCTTCTGTTTATATGCAAAAATATGTGCAATGTGCATTAAGCACAAAAAGCTTTTATTACCTATTGCAAAAAAGTAATGGCAGCAAAATAAACTTGCAGTAAAAAACTGCTAAGCAACGAAAAAGTCGGACCATTTTTATAGCCGGTTTGTAGGCGCAGGGAAGGCTTCTTGGTTGAATTCAGAATGAGGATGCTGGTTTGTAGCGGTGGTTTGCCAGTAGAAATTTTTTAATTCGAATTTTCATTCTTCATTTTGGTTCATTGGCTTTATAATTCACTTAAGTTCCATTCAGCCCACACTGACTGACCTTTCTATGGGCCGTCGCCTCCTGTTGGGTTCATTGTCTTTGCTAGCCTTCACTCGAGCATTTCTTTTTCAGGCTGACAAACCATTAATTGAGGCTACAAAACAACATAGTGAATGCCCACAACAAGAGGCAGCAACACGAGTGGCCACTCAGCCGAAAGCCCTTAATCCGCTGCCCACCGAGCTCCATTTTTCTTTCCCAGCTCCTTGAGGAAGAGAATTATTTAAGCTCGCGCTTAACTCATAAATATTCAGACGAGAGGCTGCTCCATGCTCAAGAAAGTAGGCAGCTCTGAGCACTATACAGTGCCAGTGTACGACGAGATTTACCGTTAACTCACTTCGTGCAGGTGCAATCCATTCAACACAAATTTCTTTACCCATCCATCCGATTTTGTACAAAAACAAATTCTCAATTGACACTTTGGATTGCTTTTTACTTGTGCAAACACACAGACACAAATAGGAAAGAAAGGTTAGCCAGCTGTAGTCGAAGCAAGATTTACCCTTTATGACTCATTTCTGACAGAGACTGCAGTTTGCACTCTTAGGTGGCAACTTTGGCATATATTTATATACAAGAGACCTGCATATTAGGTACATATAAAAATATATACTGCATTTACATATATATATATAAGTAACTGACTAATTAGATATATGTATATGCATGCCTGCCCTCCCTGTGTCACAAACATCTCATGAAAATCATGATACCCTTCCTCCAGCCTAAATTAACACAAAAATGAAATGGGTTGAAAAGAAGAGAGAAAGAGTGCGATAGTGACGTAGGAGAGCAGTAAGCATTGAACATTGAAATGGCATTCGATTCTGGGTGCTTACAGTAAACCAGCGATGACACACAATGACACACCTGTCTCCGCTCTCTCTCTCTCTCTCTCTGCTTTCCTTCTTCCGTTGCTTTGGGTTACCCTCACCCGCCCGCACTGTACTCACTCATAGCTCAAATCGCCGTATTTTCTCATATCCTTTGCACTGTAGTAGGTACGCATCTTTCCAAACAAATCGTGACGCGCTCTGAGTTCAGCTCTTCTCACCCCGTTCTCTGCTTCACACTCAAGTCCTTGACATGTTGTTTGCTTTCTGTTTAGCTGCTTTTGTCTCTGTCTCTTGTTTTGGCACTTTGCTTGTGCCGTTATGCTCACTTTTGTTGGGCCCCACTAATAGTTTGTGTCGCACATTTTATGCACTTTCAATACAAATTGTCACACGACTGCACTTTCTGCTGCTGCTGCTTCTTCCCCTCCTGCCACCGTCCTCCTTGCTGCCACCGTTCCAAATGTATAAATGTTGTTGATGTTGCTGCTTTCGTTTTTGATTGCTTTTGCGGTAGAAATTACTCCAGTGTATTTCCGTCGATGCCTGCTCATCAATGAAAGTCCAAATTGAGCATTGCCCAAGTTGGGAAGCTGTGCCAGGTCCAGGTGCAGGCTCCAGGCTGGCTGGATTACTGCCTCTCTCTTACTGGCCGTGTGGGTGAGTTGTGCGCAGACGCGTGATTTTAACAGCTGTTCCCAGGGATGCTGTGCCACAGAAAGTACACAGAGGGAAAATGTTTTTAGCAGTTTTCGGTCAATTTATTTGTAGTTATTATATTGGGGAATCCAGACACTCCCAAAGAATGAACTAAATGTTTATAAGCTCGATGTTCCCTGGAGCTAATAATGATATGAAACCAGCATTAACCACATCGAAGAAATAATATTTGTTAACTTGTTTTCCCAAATGTTTATGGTATAACACTGAGCTCTTGTTTTAATTGCGATTTGGGTGTTGCAAATATCGCAAACTGCGTAATTAACCGTAGGATTCTTTTTGACAGCCAATGTTTTATGGCCACTGACCTTTGGTTTGCAGAGCTCCCGCTGTTCTTCAAGAAAAGCTTCTTCTTGATTGGACTGGGTATTTTTGTGTGCAACTAAGTGCCCATCTGAACAAAAACGAATAAATGTATGTTGAATATTCATAAATATAATAGAAATCCAAGGGTTTGGAGGGCACGTGGGACTCGTTTTTGGCTAATATAAAAAAGCTGTGGAATATCTTATTATTTTTTATTCATTTTAATATTGTGAGAATTTAAAAAATAAAAGTCCCTGGGGATGAACCAATTCAAGGATGATAAAATTGCTCATTCAAAATCTTCGATATTATGTCCAAGCTGAATATTTTGAATATTTACAAAATATCGACAAAATTAATGAGCCTTAATCCCAGAACTTATTCAGTCTTCGAGTGTTCTTTGTGCGCTGCAATTCCAATGTTTCTTACATGCAAAATACTTAATTATCCATACACATCGACGCACACACCAACACAGACCGAGATTAAGAGAGGATGCGAGAGTGTGGCAAAGGACACATGCAGCGAGGAGTCAACAGAGTTCGTTCATGCCTGAACCTTATGCCATTGCTCCACCTCAGGGCTGAAGCAAGCAACAAGTGGGCAGAAGCAAAGGAGACCCAAGGCAGCGAAATCCTGCCAAAGGACTTTCGTATATCGCTCATTAGACGGACCTACCAAAAAAGCGCAACAGGCTGCAATAAGCCCACACAAGCACACATGTGCACTGACAAAAAGAGCAATTCATAAACATTCAAACACACATTTTCAAAGGTTATATTAAATTAATTTTAAATTAAATGCATCCTTTTTTTAAGAAGCAGCTAAATATCAAATGAAACCAATTAAAATCCAATTTTATTCATGCTATACAAAAAGTATACAAATTTTAAATTAAAGTCTCCATAAGTGGATGAATCAATGGATGTGCACGTAAGCAACAAAATGTTTCATTTCAGTAGAGTAAACAAAGCATTTTCACCTCTTACATTAGAGTCTAAGAGAGCTACGAAAAAGCAAATGCCAGAAGATCTGTAAAAAGAGTGTGTTATCCAATGATTTAAATAAATAAATTTGTTCCGGTGTATCAGCCACGTAGCGTCGTATGTGTGTGTTAATAACTTGGCTGCAGGCAGGACATGGATTTTGATGTTCAATTATTACAGCAACAACAGCCACAAGGAGCCACAGCCACAGGACGAGAGGAGGAAAATGAAAGCAGCGTAAATCAAAGTATGAAAAAAGCATTTCACTGTTGATCAGGCCACCACATTCGCTCCCCGCCCCTCTTTGCAGCTGTCCCTTGGCGATTAACAAGCATTTATAATGTTTCATTATTGTAAAAAAGGACGAGGGGAAAAAAAGAGCCAAACGACAGACGGAGACTGTGTGGCTGCTATAAAAGCGTCAGACGCATAAAGGCAACGCTTCAGTTGAAATTTCAAAAGTGTCGAACGCAGAATTCCGAGCAACATCATCCCAGTGGAAGGCAGCAGGATTGACATTAATTAGTTTTCTGCAGCTAAAATGCAGCACCAACATTGGCAGAGCCCACTGCATACTCCGAGGCGCAGGTGGAACAGAACCAAAGCCAGCAGCATCGGGAGTGGCATGGCCGGGCACGAGGTTGGTGGCAGGAGCCTCAGCAGCAGAACCTATCACCTGCCAGCCTTGTTGATTATCCTGCTCGTACTCATCCAGAACTTTGAGCTCCACATGTGCCGGCAATTGATGAGGCAGCCAAATGATAAACGCTCCAAGGACAAGCTCTCCTTCCAGGGCAGCGCTGCAGCCTCTGCACAGGCGGCCCAGCCCGAGGCTATGGCTGCAGATGATAAGCGAAATGCAGGAAGGTCATCTCCCAGCCAGCCCGAGGAGATATTCAGTGCCCCAACCGACGACAGCTACGACGAGTACCCGGTAAGTGGACATCACACTGGGCACAGGACACCCACGAATCGATAGCCGCGTGGGCCGTGTCGGGGTCACCTTTTTTTGCTCACTTGCCATTAATTTTTTGGTAGCCTATCATCTTACAAACAATTTGTAATCGTATATTTTTCATTTGATTGCTTTTAGTTTGACCCAAAGGTAAATTTTTGCTAACAAAAATCTGACGTCACGTCGCTTTGATTATGGAAGGTCCTAGAAGAAGTTTAAGGTGAAGATTATGCTGGTGCGCCTAATGAGGGTTGGGTCTGTTCTAGGGGTAGGTTCCATGAATGGAAGTGGCCTATGTGGCTGCGTGGGAAGTTGTTTTGATGTGCAGAGCATGCAAAATATTATAATAAACGCATTGTTCGAATAGCTGAGGTTACCACAAGCAGCTTGGAATAAAATTGTATAGGAAATTAATGTTGATGAATGCATTTTGAATACTAAGCTCTAAGATACGATTTTTAATGGTTTCATTTTGAACTTTCACCTGATGGTTGTCCTCCACAGATGGTTGTCCCAAAGCGAGCTGCTCTACTCCTGGATCGTCTGATGGTCGCCCTGCACCATGCCCTTGAACAAGAACGAGTTGGACATCGCATTGGTGATTTTTATGCGGACAAGAACAATCTGAATGCCAAGCTGAGTGAATACAAAAATGGATTGGAGGAGCACCATGCAGGAGATGATGGTGAGTGCTGGAATAAAGTCCCACGATTGGAACTGACATTGGAGTTTTGATGCAGGGATCAATCTGCATATGTATAGCGATGATGATCCGGGCGTAATGTTGGATTATGATTTCAAAGATTTGAATCAAATCAATCGCGCCACCGGCGAAACAGTAAGTTGGAATATAAAACCTAAATTGTAATATAAGACATAAAATTAGCAGCGCGATGTGTAAGAAAATTTCAGTTAATGGCAAAGAGCTTTCAGAGAAGAGCCGGTGCGGAGTCGGAGCGAACTGGATCGCACGCCGCTGCTGGTTCCTCCCCCACTGGTTCCCGGCGCATCCATTCATCCGGCGGTGGTCGCATGTACTGGCGTTGCTATTTCAATGCCGTCAGCTGCTTCTAAAATACCCAACCAATCTATACCCATCTGGAGTGTAACCATACGATCTCCAGAGATGTGTGTTTTAGAGACAGTTTCCATTTCCCGTTTGGTGGCTGCTGTGAGAGTTTTTCGTGCAATTAACTGAAAAGAGTCCCAACATCCAACAGCCCAAGTTCTGTAATTTGTATCTGTAGTGGTATCTGTATCTTGTATCTGTATCTGCATCTGTAACTATAACTGTAACTGTATATCGGTGTATTTGTAGCTCTGTTTATCAATGGAACTCACTGTGAAACTGCGTTATAAATAAACCACAAATGATAAATTCAATCGCATTCATAAATAAATTAATTCATATTCTCTCTTCCATGCACCCCAACTCCCAACTTCCTATAAATATACATACAGGTAGACAAGTGTGGTATATCTCTTGGGGAAATTACGGCCCAGGACAGGAGTATCGTAATCCCAGCCATGCTTAATGCTGATTGACATCACCATAAAACTTTATTCCCAACCAACGCAATCGCATGCCCTGAACTCGTGTCTCTCATTGCGTTTTATTTTCGGTTGCTGATTGGGTCGAAGGCACATGTACTGGCAAGCGGAAGTGCTACTTACACATACCGATCAGTATTTGGGTCTTAAGCCTTGAATCGTATCTCCTGCATCACATCTCGTACTCTCCTCAAACTCCTAGCACTCCATCTTCCCTGCTCTCCCATCTCTAGAACACCACACCTTTACTCCACTCCCCTTTTCATCAATATTCTGCAGCTTCTTTGCTGCCCTTTCTAATGCAAATTAACCACTTAAACTTCTTGCAAACTATTCAGCGCACTTTTTGCCACTCAATGCATAGAATTACGCATAGGTCAGTCATCCTTTCCCTTTTCCTCTTTCCAGACGATCGGTTTAAGTGTGCGATTCACGTGTATGCCTTCATTTCTTTCCTTTTTTTACATTTAACATTTTGTTTTTTGTGGTGGCGAAGTAAACAATTTTATTGGCCAATAATGACTTTGTTTGAATGGACAGTAATGGTCTTTTATGTGCATCTAATTGGCTTCGTTAATTGATGGTCTGCAGCTACCATCAGAAGAGAAATCCGCCTCACAACAGAATGGTAGCATTCCACTCGATAATCTCTTCCTGCCACATGGCGCGATTTCCTTATCAATGGGCCGTAAATCAATGACTGAGCCACTACTGTGTCTGTGTGCATTTTGGACTCTTTTTTGTATGTAACCTCTACGTCACAGATCCCGGCGTTGAAACGTAGGCAACAAGTACTGCCACGCCGCTGTACAGGTGCCGCTGCCCGCTGATACTCACCACGCCCACAGTTGAGTGGTTGGCTGTCCGTGTGGTGAATTAATAAGTCGCAACACATTGTTCATACGCACCATTGTGCGAGCGTGAACAAGAGCCGCTGGCTAGCTGGATAGGTGACTAGAGAATACTCTGCAAGTTTCTAGATTCCTATATGTGTTGGAAGGTTTCTTGTATTTGATTTACAAGGATTAAGTTGGAGGTACCAAATAAATTTCCACTTCATGAATGAGAGGATAAAAATGAAAAGATTTAATAGATTCAGTCTGACATTTACCGATGAACATTGGTAGAAACTACAGCTTGAATTGTCCATAACTTCGGTTTTGATGTAGTCCAAGGAACATGAGAAAAAGAGGCCAAAGATTGGCTTTGCCCGTTTTTGCAGAATATTTCTATAATTTGACATTTCAACCACCAACCAGTTTTAAGTGTACTCCATGTACACTGCTTATAGGCCAAGTATAACAACAAGTGTTAGATACTTGTTGCAGTATCGCTTGACATGAGGCAGAAAGCTTTGGCTCCACCTAGCAGAGTCCCTGCCTGCCTTCCTTCCTTCCTTCCTTCCTTCCTTACTTCCCCAATTGCTCGTGCTTCCTGCTGTTGCTGCTGCTGCTGCTGCTGCTTCTGCTGCTGATGGCTTCGTCGTTTGCGTTGTCGTTGCTGCTTGTCGTCGTCAGCCAACGGCAGCAGAACGTTGCCTGTTTTGTATATAAAGCCCAGTGGCAGACATGGCCAACATCGAGTTAACCATTTCCCTTCTTGGCGTTCACATCGAGAGTGACAGCAGCAACAAGTGAAAACCAAACGCCCAAGGATCACAGCAGAGTTCGGTTTTTGGCCAAATACCAAGAGCAAATAGTTCCCACAATTAACATCAGGAATCGTCGTCGTCTACAGTTCGACACACATTTCTGTTCAACGCCTGGCGCCAGATTTGTCTAATTACCGGCAATTTGCAGCCCATCCCCAAAGCAGACAATCGGTGAGTAAAGTACCCGGAGTTCAAGCCATTCAAGTTGTGTGCTTACCTTTTGGCCCTCGGGGGGCCGGCACTAAAGCGGCCGGCGATTAATTGAAATGGGCATTTGTGTGTCAATGCAAATGAATTTGTGGGCGCGGAAATTGTACGACAAGTGAATTATCGGTGGGCGAGTGAGTTATGGCCAGTGATATCATATCATATGGGCAGATATCCATAGGGATTATTGAGCAAAGAAACGTTTGCATTGAGTTATTACGGATGATAGGAAATTGGAACAGATCACACGAAAAATACCGAGAATCCACGGATTATTTGACATAGCCTAAGGCTTATGCACATCGTTTCAAATTCTTTCAGCTTAAAATATCAATGATAATAATAATAAATGAGTAAAAATCATTAGAGTTTTGTTTGATTACAGAATATTTGTCGCAATATCAAACTAATTTTATAGTGAAAATAAATGTCAGAAATTGTGTTGAGGAATAGGCTAGTTTTTCAAAAAAAGGGAAGATAAATCTGAGAGTTCTCGAACAGCCTAAAGAAGAATACAAAGAGAGTAAAAATGAGCATGAACAGAAACAAACCTTAAAACTTCCTTCAGCACTTTCCACAATTTCTCAAAAAGCCTTCATTAAGTGACACACAACAAATTGTGTGCAAAAATTCTACAACTGAATGAAGCTCCTTAAAAATTGCAAAATATTGATGGCGGTTTTGAAAGAAACGTTTCCTACTTACAAAATAATTGCAGCTCATTTCTGTTTTGTTCACATTCAAAGCCACTCAGAAATGCTCATCGAAAGTAGGGCTTAGAGCAGAAGGTCGCAACAACCCAATTGATTGACATGAAGTTGGTGCCAAAGGTGCTGGGTTTTTGTTGTAAGCCAGAAACTCCCACAGGTTGGCAAATATATGCCACTCGTAGTCAATACATCATCAGCTTTCAGCCCTTGCCCCCCATGATGTATTTAAATGTAATTTTTTGTTTTGAATTCACTTTGGGGACCCTGGCCCGAGACCCCCGGTAATGACAGACAACATTCGAGTGGGAGAGGAAACCTTCTCCTACGCTTTTGGCGCGATGAAAATGTTTTTGAATTAATAATGAAGTGTAGAAAAATCTGGCCAGTGCAAAGCTAACTCTGTTCTGTGCTCCTTTTGATTTAGACTTCAATCTCCATTCAAGACACTGATGATATATAACTCGACTTTACTTGGCTCTACGGACTGGATACGACTGAAGGCGCAATCAAATTGAATTTAATATTTATTAGAATTTCCCTTTCCTTGCTTGTTTTTCTTTTATTTTTTTGACTGTGGTTCGAGGCCATCAATGGAGCAGATAATTGTAGGCTGAATTTATGATAGAAAAAAAGTCAGAGTGGCTAAAACAAAAATAGCACTCGTTTAAATATTTCATTATTTCAATACGAAGTTGGTCATTCAGCATAATTGATTCAACCTTGATGAATCTGTTGGATTGGGAGTAAAAGTAAACTTTTAACGGCGATTAATTTATATATTAATTTAATATTTGTAGACATCAAAAGATCATAAAAAGGGAACACTCATTTATATTTAAGGATATTTATAAACATTTAAACACACTCAATATTTCCAACCTTCCTGGAAATTGTCGCTAGATTTTTCTAGCACATTTATTCCCATCAAATATTTTTGAGTTCCTTTCCTCAGTTTCCGTCCATCGTTGAGTGGCAACAATATTGACAAATCTTTCATTTCCCAAACACATTTTTCCCGGAAGCCCTTAGCTTCCGCCACCAATCGGCAATTGATCTGTTCCCTCATCGCTTTCTCAGCTGCCAAAAGAGCGCTCCAATAATTGAGCAAAGAATTTTGGCATTGCCGAAGTTTTAAAACCTAATTGAGGGAACAACTCTTCCGCTTTGAACCAAAGTTGCCACAAATCAAGGCGAAACCACAGGCACGGGCAAACCCATGAAACTCGATACAACATCAAGTGCTCCTCCGCAGAGTGCTCCTGCCCCAAAGCTGGAAAATGGAAAGCAATTTTTTTCGGCTTCCACTGTTTATTTGAAGATGTCTGAAGTTTCCAAGTTTTGGGTGCCGTGACTGACGTAATTTTAATTTGCTTCAAGTGGAAATGGCCCCTGGAAAATATCATATGACCAGATAAATCACATGGCCAAGGACACGCTGGCGCTGGCAGGTTTCTGCCAGACACAAGCACACATTAATGATGCCCACGGCAGGTCCTTGGCGCAAATATTTGGCCAACGATATTTGGTCTTTAGCTAATTATACCCTGTAATTGTTGGAGTGGAAGGGAATGTTGTCTGGAACTGGGAACCTCCTCACAGCAGGTGCTGCCGTCCATTTTAATCATAGTAAAGGGTATCCAATAGTCCAAATGTCTTTCCTAAGGGTAGAACCACTCTCTTGTTTGAAAGTTCCATTTTGCCCGGAGCCGAAACAACGGAAACAAAATCAACGAAAACTCAAACTAAAAATGGAACTAAGCTGCTTGTGGCACAGACACACACAGAGAGACAGAGAAGAGAGCTCTGGCATCCTGGTCCAGGGATTAGCCGGCAATGGTTCGGTGGGGACGAGCGACACCAACGTGAAAATTGCATTTTCCTTTTGCTACTTTTCACTCCTTTTGTTTCCTTTCTGCTCCTGCATTGTCGCGACTGTGGCTGGCTCGACTCTGATATTAAATTTCCAATTAACATTCGAGCATTATTTATCGGTGGCAATAAAAGTGTCCTGATTATGCTTGGCTCCGGGGCCCTGCTTCAGGGCCTGGTGCGGGTCTGGTCTCTTTGAGTATTCCATTTGATCTGGCTAAAGTTCGACAGAGAGCCCGGTCCCTTACCCCGAGGCAGTTTGGCAATTTGCCATCCACCCATCCCTCCCACAGCCTTGTTATTAGTTTTTATTTATCACTCACTAGCCGCCTAATCTATCAAATATTTTATGAGCTAAAAGCGTTTTCCTCGCACGTTAAAAAGTGCTGCTGTTAGGCATTATAATTATCTCTCTTCCGTTTGGTTGTAATACATTTGTAAAGTGTTTTAGGGGTTCGCCTGCAGCATGCAAAATATACCCATATGCAGGATGCAGCCTGCCATTAAAATGCTTTTATGGCCAGAGCTTAGAGCCATCAATGGAATCAAATGGCAGCGGAAATTATTAGGTAGACAATTTGTAATATTTAAATATAATTAATGGGAACTAAAGGTCGGGGTTTAAAGCTTTTATTTTATTTCCATGAATAATTGTTTGTTTTCCTCAAACCAGTGACAACTGGTTAGAAGTTAGAAACTCCTTAACATGTCCTTAACCAGCAGCAAAATCAGGAAAAATGCAAAAATGACAAGCCATAAAACACTGTAAACAAATTCTAGGCAGCTGCTTAAGGTGTCTCTTCTCATTTTCTTCAAGCAACATTTTATGAGCTGCAGCAGCCAGATGAGACAAGTCATTAACATTTACGGTTCCACATCATTGAGAAGATCCTTCATGGAGCAAGGGCCGGGCCGGGCCTCGTCTCTGGTGTCTTTTTATGTGCGTCGCTTACCTGTTGCACGCTGATGACACTGAAAGTCATTTGATGACCTCATTTCCCCAGACCAAACGAGTGTACACGAGGCAGTTATCTACCCTGCCTTCCCTTGCAGCCTTATCTGCTTGCATATTCATGCTTTGTGTATGGCATTTTCTTTTGATTTTACGCCCACTTCATGGCCAACAAATTAGTAATTAGATGTGGCCTGTAAGTGTCTGCAGGAGTGCTGCAAATGTTCCCTCGCTGGCTCAACGATGTGAGCAAGGAATTTGTGGATTGACTTGGTCTGCATGCTGCAAATGTTTAATTTATGAGACAATTCCATGAATAGAAGAATTGCCTTTGCCTTTGCCTTTGATGCTTACTTAGCATAGGAATGTGGACACGTTGGACCTTCATTGAAGCATCCTAAAGGGAAAGAGTAAAATTACTCCTAAAATTGTATTTGGGAATGCAGCAATTAATATGTTAACAAATTGTTGTTTGAAGATAAGGGAAATTAATGTAAGTTTTGCCCAGCTTCCGCCTAGCTAGAAAGCTTTTGCACCGATTTACCCAAGGACCAGAGCTCCTAAAGCTGCTTGCACATTTAAAAGAATTATTTATTCGTTCGAAATTCCCACAATTCACCATTCTCCCAGCTTTATTTGCACCCATTCAAACGTGTTATAAACGATTTATTTGTGTACAAATGATATAATCTGCCATTCAAGGATCTAATTCAAGGAGGAAAACTCAACATGAAGTTATGAAATCCTTAATAAGTGCACGAGCTGAACTTGAAATGTCATAACAAACTGCCAGAGACTTTTCTGATTGATCCCCCAATCTCCTGCGCACTTACATAAGCCTTGAGGGGCAAGGCGGAGGGGTTTTCGCTATAAATTCACACATCTGTGGCTGTTTCTGTGGATGCGGAGAACCCATATCAACTCGAATCACGTTTCGGCTCAGCAACGGTACACAATCAATTAAAGTTTTGCCACCCACTGGCCGTTTGAAGGCCAATGTCCAGGAGTTATTGTGTGGCTGCCACACGTTGCACAATTGGCATTGTACTTACACATTACGGATGCAGTGCGCGTGGGTGTCTGGCAGTTGCAATGTTTCGGTTGCAATTTCCGCTTTTAATTGCGGAAATGCACTTAAGCCGGGACTAAGGTGAAAAGCAGGAGAGAGGCCAAAGGGTATGCGGGTCACGTTTGTGGAAACAAGTGTTCTGGACTCACTCCAATCTGCTTTGTTATGAGTTCTTGTTGAGCGCGATGCCCGTAAAGAAAAACAACTGCAACAGGAGTCTGTGACCTTTAATTAAAAATATTGCCAGCCAACGCTTTTTTTACAGTCTGTGTTGCATGCAACACAGCTTTGAGCTTCAAAGGATTAGCCTGGCAACAAAATAAAAAAAAAGATGCTTGAGTGGGTTGCACTGTTGGCTTTTGCGTGCCGATACGCGTTGTGCAATATTAGTTACAGATTAAATGGCATTTCGAACTACATATGGCTAAGCTACTCTGTAAGAGAGTGACGATAACAATGCTTAACAAGTACCTGCCTTTGCTCTCGAACACTTTCAGTAGAAAATCGCACAAAAATGATGAAATTCGTGCAGATTCTGTTGTGCTATGGCCTGCTCCTGGCTCTGCTCTTCTCCGTTAGCGAGGCCCGACCCTCCACAGCCGAAACAGGACCCGTAAGTACAACACGTGGGGTCAAACCTAAGCGTGACCTTAGCTCTAATGAACTCTATGATTTACTTTGACTGTAGGATGCCGATGGACTGGAGGGGCAGGAGGGTGAGGATGTGCGCGGCGCCTATGGTGGAGGTTATGACATGCCAGCCCAGGCCATCTATCCCAACATACCCATGGACCGCCTGCAGATGCTCTTCGCCCAGTACAGACCCACGTAAGCGGGGGAGTGGAGATGGGTGCTTAGTTCTGTGCATAATTAATCTATATCCCAGTTACAGCGCCTACTTGAGGACCCCCTCCTATGGCAATATGAATGAGCTCTATAGGCTGCCCGAGAGCAAGCGTCAAGTGAGGTATCGGCAGTGCTACTTCAATCCCATCTCCTGCTTTAGGAAGTAAATTCACACCTCACCGGAAGTGTAGCCCATTAGCATTTCAAGCATTTCAAACAAAAAACAAAACATAAAAGAAACCAAATCAAGCCCAGCATGGAATTTAGCATAAAACCTCAGACAACATTTAACGCAAATATTTAGTGCAATTAAACTAAAGCTAAGACTCAAACTACATATATCTAAACATATATACAATATCGAAAATATATAAATGTCTAAACAAATTACTGCAAAAAATGCTTCATTGTAGTTACCAAAAAAAAAAAAAAAACGAAAGAAAGCATATTGAAATATTTATTGAAATATATTTGCAAGACAAACGAAAATTGTAAGCCCATTCCTTTGTTGGTTTCTTATAGTTCTTGATTTACGCTTGGCATATGGTGTGGTAAAGTAATATCAAATTGATTCCTAAATATAAACGTTTATGAAAATACAATTTGAATAATCTTGAATTTGCTTTTGTACATTTCAATGTTTCTTTCAAAGCTCTCTTGTATAATATGAACTCAGCAATTTATGATATGACAAAGTACCGAAATGCAAAACCTAGAGCCATTTAACAATATCCATATACAAATCTATACATGTAATATATATGCAAACATAAATGAAATAAAGTTATGCTACGTACGAGTACGAGTACGTGGCTAATAAATGCGAATGCTGAAGGAACAATTTAGTTTTTGTGTGTGTTCAGGTTGAGCTTTGAACAGCGAAACATTTTCTTGATATTTATGTTTATCACTAAGTTTTTAGTGGCATTTGTTATTGTTTTTATCTGGCATTCAATTCTTGTTTATGCGGTTTTATATGCGCAAATTATCTTGCATTCACTTATTGTACATATTCTCCTGAATATGCCTTACCACGAACATCCTTGATCGGGGCTGGGAGCTACCTAGGCATTTAACCTTCTGCAGGTATGCACTTATAGAAATATAACCAACAAATATCTCTCTCACAAATGTCTAGGAAAATGTCATGGCAAACCATTTTTGTGTATTAAATCCACACAATTCAGTAGGCTATTCTGTTGATGTTCAATTCGGAACATCCCAAAATTGCGTTTCTTCCAAATTCGTTTCTTCGTTTTTCGCTTATGTTTCATTTCATTGTCAATGTTCATGAACATTATGAATATATTTGTAATTAAAATATACATCTTGAGATGGAAATACGACACATTTTTGGTTGCATATTTATTCAGTTTTTATTAAACACTTTTAAGATCTTTCAGGAACATTACAGTTTTAGAATTGATTCAATTTGTAAGAAATATTTCATGTATCTCAGTTTGTTGTTCTTATATCTAACTTTTTGCGTAAATCACTTTCTAGGAGCTTTGAATATTTATAGGGTTTGCCTCTTAGGCGGTTTATCCTTTAGTTTGCCGCTGAACTTGCATAGATCTTGAAGAACTCTTCTGTTTTATCACTCCATTCAATCGAACATAATTGATTATAGTTACATCTGTGAATCCTTATCACATTTATCTGGCTCGTATATTGTCAGATATTGAGGCGTCTCGCCTCCAAGTTCCTGGCCTGATATTTTGCAATGGACTGGCGCTGCTTCATTTGGAGAACGAGTCGATCCGGGGTGGAGATCTTGAAGCCATTGCCTTTGCGGCAGCGCTCTTCGATCTTCAGCGAGGTGGCCATCATGAAGATGGAGAAGACGAGGGCAATTAGATAGCGAACGATTAGCATATTGTGACAAACGCTGTCCGAAACCAAGACTGGACAGTCCAGCGTTTCCAGTTCGCTCTTTTATAGCCCAAGTGCACTGAGTATATCCGTTACCTGTACCAGGAGCAGTCCCTCCCCTCTGCTAACCCGGGGGATTAGCGATTGGCAAGAGTTTTTATAGCCCTACCACTCCCCAATAAACAATTTTTGCGCTAATCCACTTGGCAATTTCCACTTCCTCTACAAGAAATCCGCACTCTCTCTCTCCCTCTCGTGATCGCAAAGATGTAGCTCAGAGCAGATACAAAAGGGAAAACTAATTGCCATGCCCTGATGAGTGGAAGTTCCAAGAAGGAGACAATATCGACCTACCTGATGCTGCACCCTGGACCCTGTTTTATGATCTCCGCTCTCATCTCTCTTTCTGTTGCTTTTTGCCATTAGACATTTTAATTGTTAATTTTTGCAGAAAGCAAAGCTGGCCAGCAAAGGAGGCAGCAGCAGCAGCAGCGGCAGCAGGAAAATTTAAATAATGGCCAAGCTGCAGGCAGAATCCAAAAGAGAGGAATCCAATGGCTACCTGCATTTATTATCTGTTGCTGATGCTGCTGCTGCTGCTGCTCCTCCTGTTGCTGGTGCCACAGAATGCTCCTCTTCTGCCGCTGATCTACTCGACTCGAGTGCCATCAACGTGAAAACAAGTGGCAACAATTTTCTATAAATTGCATTTGTGCAAAATTAAGTTCAATCTTGGCCAAGTCGCGAACCAGTAGCTGTATCTCTTCGGCCTGCATCCGCTCGTCTGGGTCTGCTCCCAGTCCCCCTACCCCCTACCCACTCTCTCTCTCTCTCTTCATCTCTCTCACTCTGATCTTTCACTGCTGGAGTAGCCAAACTCCATTAACTTTGCAATTGGCCACCATAACTCGTCCGTCGGTCGCCCGTTGCCGCCGTCACCTCGTCGCCCATTTGGCCGCCGCATCCACATCCACATCCACCTCTACATCCACATCCCACATCCCACAGCTCACCAGGCCGGGGCAGGTCCAGTCCAGGCGAGGCCTGGCCCCATCGCTTGTTAGTTTTTGCGCCAGATCGTTTATAATAATTCGTATGCGAGTCATGTCATGGCCCCTAAAGTGTATCTGCAGCCGCGCAGTCGCAGTCGCAGTCGTCGCGGTCGCTGCGCATATCTGTATCTAGTCAAAGCGCAACTAGAGATGGTCTCGTGACACGAACCGGGGGATGCTATGCAATTATTTGTGGGGTAGAAGAATTATAAATTGGAGAAAGAAAGTAAATTTAAAGAAAGAAACAGCTAAATGATAAGTCTGAGCTTCCCTGAGGTTCCTCTGAGGATTAGAAGTAGATCGTAAACACAAGAGGACTATCAATACTTTAAAACATCATTTCAAAGGTAACTTCAATTAACTTTAATACATTTGAAAAACCTTTCCCTACCATCGCGTTACCTATAAGCCACGAAACACCTCTCACGACTCACGCCCATCTCTGGGTAATGGAGTGGCAAGTCTTGGCCTGATCTGGTCAACTATGCAACCGGCAGCAGCGGAGTCGCCACAGCAGTCGCTGCCCCAGCCACAGTCCCAGCCCCCAGTCGGGTGACTCGAACTTGACTTCACTTGGCTTGATCTTGCGCCCGTTTCTTCTGCGCATAGCTTTGGGTCGCCACTGGCTGCATCTTTCTCTCCGCATCTCACGGCCAACTCCGACTCCCCTCCTGGGCACCCTGCCTGGCCCCAGGCCCGTTGTCATACCACTTTATACGCGGCGCTTTGTGCTGGTTTTGTTCTATTGGTAAAAGGAAGTTAGAAAAATGCTCTGAATTCATGCGGCCACTGTTAGGGGCCAAGGCGCGGCGAGGCGGTGGCCTTAAGTGAATTGTGCCCGAGACAAGCTTCCAGCTGGGCCGCCCTCGGATCAGGCAAGGGAATATGTTCAGGGTTGAATGCCTTAGAACTATTCCAAAAGTTGAAGAGTTGAGATAAATGGATTAAGGGAAAGTTTAAGTATAGAAAGGAGAGAAATTAGGTTAATGAAATGTACCTTTGAAATAGAGATCCCAACCAAAAAGAAGATCTTATTCGCTTTATTGATTTGATTTGAATTTTGTTACATTATTGGGCTGCACTCTAGTACCCAATGCTGCCATCCTGTACCTTCAGCTGCCCGAAAAGGGCAAAGACAACAGCAACAAGAGAGGAGAAATATGAAATTCCAAACAGCTGCGGGGCACTTAAGGCACTGCCGCTGCTGGTGCTGGTGCTGGTGCTGGTCAAGTCGGATCTCGAACTCGAACTCCCCAACGTAACCGGTAGTCAGTGGCCACAGAAACAAGACCATAGCCGTAGCTTGGACCATCGCTGGACCATCGTCGTCACCCTGTCGTCGTCGTCGTCGTCGTCGTCGGACTCCTTGGACAATGTTGCAATGTTGCTCTTATTTCAGAACATGACCATCGTCCAATGGGAGGCCAGGGAGGAATGCCTTAATTCAGGAATTTAATGAAAAATGCTCTATGAAGCGCTGCAGCAGCGGCACCAGCAGCAAATTACAACAACAAAAAAGTAAGAAATAACAAAAAAATCAAGCGAGGAAAACTTGAGCGCACAGAAGCCCATCGGAGGATGGAGTGGAAGGAACCGAACAGAATGGGACGGGGAACAAAAAGGTTAAAATTAAAATCTTCGCTGGCTCTTGTTCTCCTTAGTTGAGCGGTTTGCTTTCCAATATACCAACTACCCTATAGAAATCTAATCTGAAATGGGGTATGTGAGGATCAGTAGGAATAGGGGTTGAGAGGTACATGAGGTATTGTCCATAAAAAGTTGTCTAGTAATGCTTGAAACTTGGATTAAGTTTCTAATAATTATGAAAATGGTTTTGACTATAATCTTTTCCTGAAAACTAACAGACAAAAGGGAAATGCTCGCTTAATGTTTTCTAAGTCTCCCAAATAAATCATTTCACCAATGATCTCGATACGGAAAAGTCTTGGATCTTCTCCATCTAAAATCTTGTATCTGTTTCCGGCTTAACTTAACTTGCATTCGTGCAGTTCTTCCAAATCTCTCTTTCAAGACTAGACCCTTACTGATAAAGTTTTTGCAGAGGGTATACTCAAATCGATCACCTACGCCCAAGTCCCGACTGCCACTGCTCTTTGTTTTGTTGCTTTTGTTGCTTTTCAATCCAAGCGAACTGCAAACTGCGCGCTTCAAGCAGTGTGTGAGATCGGTGGCAGGTGATGCCGTTCAACTTTGAGGTTGAGTAGCTTGATGCGACCGACCAAAGTTGACCAGTTCCCCTCCTTGTGCCACACTCCACTCCAGTCCACACCTCCTCCTCCAACTCCCTCTCTCTGGTTGTGAGTGCGTCTGCAGCTCCTGTTGCTCCGCGTTGAGCGTTGTAAATTACATTTTCCAAATGCTTTTGCCATGTCGAACCAAAAAGCCATGTACATATGTGGCATAAAGGAGCTGCTGCTGCTGCTGCTGGCCGTTGCCCATGGCCAGTAGCTGGGCAGCAACTAGTGCCAGCATCTGCCTCTCTCTCTCGCTCTCTCTCTCTCTCTTTTGCTCTGTCTCTGTGGCCCTGGCCGTGGTCGTGGTTGCCTCCGACTTTGCTTCCGTTTTGATTTGGAACACTTGTTGCAGTGTGGCAGCGGCAGTCTCTTCTGCCTGCCTCTCTTCAGCCTTATAGATTTGTCCTCCAACAACAAGAAACATTCATTCCTTGGGGATATGTACCTACATATATATATATACACCATATACACTCGCACAATGTTCCTACATGGATTCCAACATGGCATTTGGGATGCTCCTTCTTCAATGCTCTTTTCGGTTCGGTTTTTTATTCTTCCCGCCCTCTCTTTCCCTTGCTGCGTATTTAAACATTTTGTTGTTGCTTATGGTTTGGGGATTGTGGGATCTCCTGTTGATTATGTTGTTGTAGTTTGTTCAGATCGTTGTTGATTGTTGTTGAGTGTTGATTGTTGCAAGCGGCCGCAACTGGAGACTGCCGCGGTAGGTAGCTGCCTGCCTGTTGGACCCTCAGAGCTGTTCGCTTTGATTAACAGAGTGAGAGATATTTGCCAGAGATTATCATTGACAGAGAGATAGCTATGGGGGGTTGCCGAAAGATTATGATTGTCTACGAATTCGAAGGATCAGCAAAAGCTTAATAGCAGCGAAAAGAAATTCCAAACGACTTTTGATGTAAACTTAAGGCTTATGACTTAAAACGTATGGGGCAGTGAAGAGTTTGAAGTGTGCAGCTTTCTTTATGGGTAATTTAAGCATTATTTTAGCTCTGGCTGCAGATCGATAGTTGATCCGATTTGTGCATTAGTTCCCTGTGAGTGGCGCAGGAAGTAAATATTTATAATATACAATTCAGATTAATTTTAAAATCAATTTATTCTTTCAGATTCATTTACACAATTTGGTTTGTGCTGCTTTAAAAGAAAGAAATATTATATCACTATATTTTAAATGCATTAAATTAAATTTACTTCACATAGAATTCGCAAGAATCTTATAAACTTATAGCATGGATTCTGGTTCCATGATCTCGTAGGTGGACAGCGGCAACACCTCGTTACCAAAGTAGTTGGCTCCGCCGGGAGCAATGTCCGGCTCTGGCACATCGTAGAAGCTCTGGAGGAAGGGACTACGGGAGAGCATCATCTTGGGATTGATGAAGGAGTGTCGCTTCAGGTAGAAGTCCTTTTTGGTCTGTCGCCTCCATGGGGAGATCTGTTCCGCCAGCAGCTCGTTGCTCAATCTCTCGCGCTCCACTGGCAGGGAGGTGACCTCGTTATAGATCGGAGATCGTGACCTGGGCCGAGCCGCAACCAGGAGAACCAGCGTGACAACGATGAGGATGAGAAATACAAGTTTAACGCTCGACATCTTGACTGCTTGGCAGCTGGGATTGGAATGTGCTGGATGAGGCATGGACGAGGGGAATATATGGAGGATGTTTAGGTAGTTGGCAACCGATTTACCCTAAGTGTTTTCTAATGATGCAAGTCCAACGGCTACCTGAAGCTACCTGATGATTACCTCTGTAGTTTATGACCAGTGATTCCATTTGCCTTTGGTTATCCCACTCTGGGCGCACTCACTTTGCCCATCCACCACATCAATCTGGGTCTAGCCAGGCCTCCCGAGGCAATCGGAGAGTCACTTAAAGTCGGCGACTCCACTCAAGGCATCAAGATCGCTGGGACTGGGGACTGCGATGCCATTTCATGTTAATCAAACAACGAAATCCATCAACAGGTGACACACAGCAGTACGGGACAGCAGTCCCTGGCCAAGTGGGCGGCGGATCTGTGGGGATTGTGACTAAAAGGGGGGAGCCACGACATCTACCAGACATGTCAGTGCGATAATGGTGCTCTTTCTGCCTCTGTATCTGCGAGTGTGTGCAGTTCGCGATGTGTGTGTGAGAGTATCTAAAACAACTTCATTCACAAAAATCAGACCAACCAACAACAAGAAAAAACAAGAAGAAGCTAAAAAGCCATCTGTAAAAAGGAAGCTGGGCCATTAAAAATATCTTGTGTATGCCAAAAGCTAGGCAGATAGCAGCAGCCAAAAGACACATCCCGAGTTCAGGCAGGCGCACACACGGGCAGAGGCAGTGGCTGCGGAGGCTGTGGCATCCAGCCACAGTAGTGGCTGCATCACAGAGGCTACTTGGTAGCATCATCATCATCATCATCAGAAGCTGCTGCACTTGCGGGGGCGACAATGCGGGGGGCGGTACCGGGACAGGTCGCCGGCTAGTGGGCAGCCAGGGGGCAGCAGGCACAGGAATAGCCAAGAAACATACGCCTAATGCCACAGTCATCGACATCCGCCATTTAGCTTGTTAACCCACTATTGCCGATGGGGTTGGTTCTTCTGCCAACAAATAAAGTCCGATTAATGATAAAAGTTAAATCTTTTAAGCATGTTAACATATTATATCTCTGATTTTAATGTGGGTTAAAATAAATTTTGAAATTCTTTTTTACTTAGAGTATTGTACCCATGAGTCGTTTGCTAATTGTAAAATGTATGCACATGTTAAACAATAATTTTGTATTTCCTATGAAAGATTTAGCGATTTTATAGACATAAAATCGGTTTTAAATAAAAGTGCAATGGGTGGCTGGATACAGAGTTGCTTCAAAGAATCCAGACAGCGAATCGCTCAGCAAACATCTGTGTTTTGACAACAGTTAAGTATCATTATAAAATACAAAGCAAAACTTGGTTTTCCATATGCTGGCGATGGATGTTTAAACGGAATGCAACTTAATATAGGAGGCTTGTGGTCGACGATATTGAGTAAATTAAAGCAGTCAGGGCATATGGCATATAAGGTAAACTTTACTTTTTCCTTTAGTGGGTTAATCCATCTCCTAGCAGTAAGTTCTCCTTGTTCTTCTCCTCTACCTTCTCTCAGTTTTTCCATTGGCTTCTGATGCTGCTGCTGCTGCCGCTGCCGCTGCTGCTGGTTGCTGCGCAGTCGCAACTGTCTACATTTGTCGGCCTGCCTACAGCCGCCGTCGCTCTTTGCTGCTTTTCTCCTCTGCTGTCGTCTGTGGTGCTGCCATGTGTCTTGTTCTTCTTCAGTCGATTGGATGTCCAGCTTTCAATTTGCAACATAAAGCATCTTCATCGTGGGCCGCATGAATGGGCAAATGACTAGAGAGTGAGAGAGAGGGAGGAGTTGGCCGAGGGGGTAGATATGCTTGGGTGTGGGCTGGGAGCTGGTTGCTGTCTCCTCCTGCTCCGCCTCCTCTTCATTCTGCTATTTTCCCTGTTCCACTGGCATTGACGGTAGGCACTCAGGCGTGCCTTGGCGGTAGTCGCTGACCTTTATTGATTGCTGTTTGACCTCGCCTCGCTATTGTTGGTGTTGTTGCTGCAATTGTTGCAGTTGCATCTCCTAACCATTTGTACTTAGCCGATCGCTGGCATAGATTGCACCCAGGAAAGGTGTATGGTGCCGGCAGGGGTAATGGGGGGCATGCGGTATACGCCCACTAAGCATCGTTGCTCTTGCGCTGTGTTTTGTCGTTTTGCTTTCTGCCTTTTTGTGCAGCCTTCATTGTTACCTTCGTACATATCTCTGGCGCGAGCTCTCTCTTTGTCTCACTCTCTCTCACCCGCTGCTGCTGCTGCTGCTCTGCTTCTTCTTCTGTTGCTGCTGTTGTGGTTGTGTTGCTCCATTACTCCGTTTCATGGCAGTTAATTTATATTCGATGCTTCTCTCTCTCTCTCCCTTTCCTTCCAGCTATTTTGCGAGTGCTTTCGTTTACCCTTTTAGCAGGTATCGATATTTTCAACAGCCTGTAGAGTTTTTCTATCAGTATAACGATGGACCTGCTACTGCAGGGCATTAAAAGCTTCGCATATCAGAATGAGTTTTCTCCTCTTGTTTTGCGTGTTTTGTTTTTGTTTCTTACTTCCTTTTTGATGTGTCCCTGTTTTTGTTGCTTTTGTTGTCGGGGTCTGGCTGTCGTTGGCTATGTTCGAGGGTAAGGTCGCTCGTCGGTCGTCATTGACGCCTTTCCTTGTACTTAGTCTTCCCTTTGCTATGCAAAAACAAAAGACTGAAGAAACGACCAGCAAGAAGGCCATTGAAGGCGCTTCGACTAAAGAATACCCACTAATCCTAGACCTATTCAATGAATTGTTCCTTTAATTTTCCCGATATTCAGATGTCCAGATCGATTTGAGCTATTATACAGATACAGAATATTTTGTCTAAAGAGTTTGCTTCTCTCTGTATCTGTATCCTACACCCACAAGAGAAGAATATACTCTTTGCACCTTAAAAGGTAGCAAAAAGACAAGACCAAGTCTCAGCACACTTTGGGAGCCTTCGTTTTGTTTGGCTTCTATCTTGTAGTTTGTTTTGTTTGACAGTTTCTATCTGGAGGGCTATCAGAGTCGTATTCGTAGTGGGAATCGGAGTCGGGTCGGGGCTGGCTGCCACTGGGAGTCCGTTCCAGCCTCAAAGACGAGACGGCTGTCGTTTTGTTTGCTTAATTGTTTGGTTTCTCCTATTGAACCTCTGTGCAGCCCCATCCATAGCCCCCACCAGAGGCAGCAAAAACTGTTCGGTTTTCTATAGGTGGGGCGATATTTTCCATGGAAATAAATTAGCTGATTGAGGATAACCGTAGTTAGTGAGATGGCGAATGCAAATGTGAGAGGGTGCTGTACAAGTGAATTATCACCTCCTTTTTGCAGGTAGGCCCTGTCCTGTCTAGGTGATATCTCCATCTTGTTTTGCAGCTAATGGGTATCTGCGGCTGATGATGATCCTACTACCATATTGATTTGGTCTTAATCATGCGCTATATTATTATTTTTAGCTTATTTTAAGCTTCTCACGGGTCTCGTCCCATCTATAATTATTGACCGGGCCCGGTTGTGCTTTAATATCGCCAGCAAATCAAATCACTTCATAATGATAATAATCACTCAACCTGCTTCGCATTATTAAAGAGTATCAGTTCATCAGATCGAAGAGCGTACAATGATTTCTCTTAGTTTTGTGGCGCTCTCTTAAAGCAGAGCGTGCCAAAGCAAATTCATTCATACCGCGCGTTTAAAGGTGTATTCAATCAAAGGTAAGGCCTTCTCGCTCTTCGAGTCAAATGGCCATACGATCTCTCGCTCTCTGTGTGTCGCGCACAGAAGCAACGAGGTGACAGTTGTGGGGCAAATCTCACCCTTCTTCTATACACTCTGCTCGCACTCACTCGACCAGTTGTTGGGGCTAAAAGAATCGCCACTTGTCGTTCGGCTTCCACTGCATTGTGAGAGAGCAACCAAAAGAGTATGAGATGGGGAGGGAGAGAGAGAGAGAGAGCCGCATGATGGGCTCCATCGGCACAGGCGATTGATCAGTTTTCTGCTGCATTCAGCTTTCAGCCGGTTAGGTTAGTGATTTTTGCAACGCTCCCGAGTACGGTTCGGAGTAACGGAAACGAGAGAAGCTATTTGAGGAGCGAGCCCGTGGAGCTTTTTCGTCTGATGTGAGCGAAGACGAAGACGAACAAACAAATAAACAATAATCGTAATAATAAACGTAATTCAAACAATTAATCAAAACGCGACGATCAATGAAACGCACACACACAACGACAAAATGTTTATTTAATTGTTATAGGCTATAAAAAATACTTACAACAACCACAACATAGAAAAGTGCCAGTGAATGAGATTGTACTTAATTTTTACGTACAAAATAGCTGTAAATGTATGGCATGCTTGTGAGTGTGTGCGTGTAACAGTGCCAGTGAGTGTGTGCGTGCCTGTGCATGTGTATATGTGTGCGGCTTTATCAATTGCTCCACATAAAAGTTTTCATTGAAGTGTTTGACGACAACCAACCCTAAATAGCTAACCAGCGAGCGGGAGAATACGCGAAGGAGGAGAATCAGCTTAAAACGGTAATTAAGACAAACAACAAACTGCTCTTACTCTTCTTGACTTGGCCATAAACAAATGATTCAGCAAATTGTTCGGTGAATAACTGTAAATTTCGATTGAACTACAACTACAATTACAATTAGTAAAACTAAAACCACAACTGGCGGGTGACGAAAGCTGCGTCAACGCATGCTTGCAATTAGTGTAACTGTTTATGGGGTGGCAGTCCGTCTGACAAAGTAGTACGCGCAGGAGGGGACGACGCTCCTCTTTCTACCTCTCTTTAAGTACAGTGAAAGCTCGCTTAAATGGTGTTCAAATCTTATCGGATGTTCGTAGATATTGTAGGCTGGCATCCTGATTTTCTGTGTAACTCTAACGTTTCCTAGAATATCTCGTTAAGTCAGTGTGTGCACACAGAGGTCTTACTGTAGTTTGTCAAAGTATTATTTGCCATTTTGTCGCTTTCATTAATTGGCTACCTGTCTGCCTGCCATGTTCAGCTCTGTTGTTGATGTTGTTGTCTCTCTTTAAAACGGTAAGTGCAAATCGGACACTCTCTTTGCTTACACCTTCCTTTCTCACTCCCTCTCCACCTCTCTTCGTCTGTGCAGATAGCCCTGTCTCAGTTTGTCACACACACTTGTTGCCTGCTCATTGTTTTTACAGTTTTTAAGTGGCGCTCATATCCGGCGTTTGCTTTTGCTTTTGGGCCTGATAAGCGCACTTACCTTCACCGCACACACATACACTCTGCAGCTCTCCCGCGCACTCCCCTCCACATCTTCTCTCTCCACTCTTTTTTCTTGCGGTTACGTCTCCTCTGGCCGTTATTGTTACAGTTGCTGCATGAGTATGACAGACTGAAAGAGTGTGTGTTTGTGTGCCCTCTACCTGCATTTTATTTGCATTTCGCATATTTGATTGAAGCTTTGTTATTTTTGCTTTTATGGTTACCTGTACATCCCTCTTCCTCTCTTATTCATTATTGCTGGCCTTGCCATTTTTTCTGTCGTACATTCTAAACGTTTTGTGATTCAGTGTTCTTTAATGTCCAACTGTTTTCGGATCATGGCTCATTGGGTTATTCAGGGATTTTGCCTAATTGGAACACCCAAACTTTCATGTACCCTTTTACGAGCTTTTTTGTTTGCAAGTTGTTCCATTAATTTTTAACTGTTGTCAATGAGTGTAACACAAATGAAAAATGAATTGTAGGAGTTCAGAACAGATTTGGGCTAATCTGGAATATTTCAAATATTTTAAAGTACATCTTTATAAAAATCGAACGGTTTTAAAAGATCCCACAGTTCCAAAACAGCCAAATGTTATATTTTATGAAACTTTAATTTAAATTTGCCACACCGTTTACGTTCAATACTCGAAGCCACTGTAAAGTATTAAATAGCACAACACAAAATTTGTTGTACAATTCCCCACTGATCTCAGTCAATATTCGAAGGTTCTCTCAGGTTATGCGATTGTTGTTAGCTCATAGATTCCTCCCATATACAGGGGAGAGAGCCATCTGTTAATCAGCGAATTTCAGTGCATCAAACATCACAGACTAACTTGCCATGTATTTTCCCCTTCTGCTGTTTCTGCCTGCTGCCAGTTGCATTGTAATGTATCAAAGTTCAGAATGTGAGCAAAAAGCACATTTCGGTTTTGCGTTTAATTAAAGTTCAGCACCTCGCCGCCTCAACTCAACCCACTCTCAACTAAAATCACGACATTTGCGATCATTAACACACAAACACACACACTCACATACACACATGTGAGAGATCGAGTGTGTGGGCGCCCAGATCGGCACTCAATCATCTATGAGGGGGTGAGCGAAGAGCTGCTGTGGATGTGGCAGACAAAGTGGATGCTGCGAGTACGAATATATGATTTCACGAGGCGGCTCAAATCAAACAAAAACGGTTCGAGGCTGCGGTCAGTGATTAACCTTAAGGTTCAGTCGATCTTTGATCTGTCAAAAGATCAAATTATAAGCAAAAAAGAAATACACAACAAAAACAGACACAGCAAGAGAGAGACCATAACAAAATGCGATCGATCGTTTCAATTATTTTCCAGTGATCAGTGAGATCTTCCCCACGAAAAAAATGCTGACAAAATATGAAGGCAAGCACAGCGAGTACATAAAGTAAACTTCTTGGCCCTTTTTTTTGAGGATCCACTGGGATCGGTTCTTTCGTCGCCAGTTCATGTGACAAAAATGTGTCACAGTCAGCAAACAAAAAGCCCCAAGAAAATCAAAAGAAACGGGGGATAAAACAGAGTCGGCGGCGATCGGTTTACTCAATTCCCGAACTCATCTCCAAAGGGGGAAACTTTAGTGGACTGATCTTCAGAAGAAGCAGCAAGTATCGAATATTTAATACCCTTGGAAGTTAAATATAAGAAATGAAGAACGTGCATACACCTCATAAAATTATTTATTGGTCGTACATTTTAGCTCTATCTTTGAAAGTAACACTTCCATACACCCTAAGAACGCCCTCAATGCCCTCAAATTGATCGTCACTTGATTTTTATTATTATTATTATTATTATTATTACTTTTCATCTCCTCTTTGGCTGTTGGGGAAGAACGGGTTATGGATGAAGTTACTGTGGAGCTCTGTGGGTTCGTTTGTCTTCGTCAAATATTTACTTTAGAGTCCGCTAATGACATGAAATGGGCAGGACAGAAGAAGAAACGGCACGGTGCGGGCATACACCAGAATTATGATGTGAGTTGCAGGAAATTGTTGAATTTGTTATTATTAGCATTTATAAATTTCATATTTTGTACGATGCTCGTCATATGATGGTGCTCTATCAAGTGACAAGAGTGAGTCCGTCCGTTTGTGAGGTAAGCATTTATATGCCGCCTGATTATATGATGATATCTGATAGCTACAGACCAGCCATGGCTGGCTCCCCTGCCATCTGCTTGTTTGCGAATTTTTCAATGAACTTGCAAATTCCTTTCAGAAACAAAAAGCCGTTGGAAGTTTGGCCAAAAACGGAAGTCGAGACTGGGACTGACTATGGAATGGCCGAAAGGTCAGTTAGATGTAAGAGAAACTACAAAAAATATTATATTGAAAAGAACATAGAATATTCCATGTAAATTCCACCAATGACGCTGTCGGATAGTGGATAGATGGATATGGTTCCCTCTCTTTCACACAATCTGGTTCACCTTTGACTTTTTTCTGTGGTCTCTATCCGCATAAATTAACTGGCGATGAGTCGTTTAGATATGCCCTAGAACGAAGAACCGTATTAAATTTAATGCTTATCTTATGTTTTATAAATATTTTGCTTTTCGCCTTTGTTGTCCATTCATAGCTTGAATCTATTCATGGTTTATGGCCAAAACGTGTTAATGCCTGCATACATATTGTTTTTACATTTTTACATTTTTTATTCGTTTCAGTTTCAGTGTGTGTTTTTTTTTTGTCTCTTAATATTAATATTTATATGCATTGAATTGATCAAGCTTTAGGCTTTATGGGTTACAAGCCACGTGTTTTGTTGTGGCTTTAATCCACTTTTCACTTTGGTTGTGTTTATGTTAAAACGTGCGGACGTCTAGGTGGGTCAAGAGGTTGAAGATTAATAAAGATAAGGGGAAGGCGGTCTGCTAAAATATGCTGATTTCTTCGAGCGTAGTTTGAAAGGGTCCAGAGATCATTAGTGAATTTTTTAGAAACTGGAAAATCATTCAAATTAAATTTCCTTTATTTTATTATCTCAAGAATATGCTAATCACTGAGTATAGTTTTTGCGTAGGTCATTTTCTTTTTATTGATTTTTAATTAATGAAAACGAACTAAATTATGTAATTTAGAAGCCTAAACCTTGCGAAGCCCACGAAATTCGATTTAAATAATAGAGTGCCTACAGAACGGGTTGATCTCAGTATACGGTCTGACGTCTTTCGTAGCCTAGTTACATTCATCAGAATTTATGTAGATCTTTAGATTATTTTTTAACTTTGCACATAAAAAGTTCAACTTATAATCATCTGCTCCAGACAATTATTTTGAAAGTATTTCCTTGACATTATAAAGCTTATTATTTCTGGCAAGGATATTTAAACCACTCGTTCTGCCATCTCCATTCTCCAATTCTGCAACACGCAAAGCTGTCAGTCATGACCATAACCACTCCAGTCATCTGCTTCCGCCTCGCTCGCTTTTGACCTGCATTTGCAGGTGTCACTTTTCGAGTACAGTTGCCACACGACCTGACCCCTCAAGCCGGCCCCAAAACGATCTTTGTCGTCTTGTCGGCCAGCACTTCTTGGCTTAAAGTTTTTTCTTTCTGTCGTTATCCCCAGCGACAGGCTTCACTGAAACTGGTGCAAAACGAGAAGAAAACATAAAAAAGACTGAACTCAACACGCGCGCTGGCTGTTGAGGCTGAGACTGGGGGCTGCCCACACGCCTCGACATCGACTTGACTCCAGCTTTGGGTCGGGTCTCAGCCTCAGTCTCAGTCCGGGTCCCTGTTCTCCCTTTATCCAAAAAGAGTCTGAAGTCAGTCTGTCGTCTGACAGAGAGTTGAGTTGTAGTTTGGTTAACAAAAAAAAAAAGGAAGCAAGCAAATAAAACACAAATACATATTTGCAGGCCTATGGTCTTACAGTGCGTTGCAAAACTCTAAATGTTGGAAAATTCTGAAAATTTATTAAAAATTGACCAAGGAAGGATTTTCAGCTCAGTAAAAAATCTTCTTCATTTCATGCTGATTGGCAATAAGACTTCCATATTCCCCCTAATCGAATGGTCTTCAATTTCGAATGATATTTCAGCCCAAATATTTGAACTTGGAACCCTGTCAATCCATGAACAGATAAATTGCACTATTTCTCCAGCTTTTCAGCCTTACAGCAGCGTAATGCACTGTCTGTGTGCACGAATATGTCCTGACAATTGGCAGACTCCTAAGCAAAGACTCGTGTGAGCAGCGTGTGCCGTCGACGTCCATCTACAAGGTATATAGAGTACGAGTATCT